AAAATATTTTTGGCCATGCGGTGTTGCCAGATATACTCGTAACGTATATCAACTTTCGTTTGTTGAATGGAACACTCTGTATATTATTTCATTTTTAAATTCTGCGAAACTTTCTGGAACTTTTTTACGTAACATGTACTATACCTATCTTGAATATTTTCGGAGATAAAAAATACTTTATAGGAAATTTGGCAAACAACAAACGGATATAAAATAATAATTTTTTTCGCAACCGTTGCGTTATCATAATATAGTATGAAAATTAACTTATCGCATACGGGGCATTCATAAAATAAGGCCAAATTGGCAAAATATAAAAATCCATGTTACTTGAAAATTTTAAATGGAACAGTCCATATTATATATTGGCATGTAAATGAACAATTAGTTTGCCATCGAAAAGTACCAAACTATGGTATATCTATTTTCACAGGTTTTCTAGTTGGAAAGCGAACGGTTTGTCAAAAATGTGCTACATGTCGTCTAATAATCCAATTGCATTTACTAATTCGCGAAGGATTTAATTACTGTTTCATCATCAAATATTATAAATAATATAAAGGTTTCTTCGACACCCGGAACTTTTTTCCTATCAGAGAAAACCTCCAAAAATAGTATAACTTATGTATAGTGTACTTCGAAGTATTTCGTCTGGGCTTTTAAGGGACGCTCCCCAAAAAGTAATAGGAGATGGACAAGAAAGGGCGGTTCAGGTAGATGTCGACCTTGTATCGGCTGATATTAGTTACAGCATTAAATAACCCGTTTTGCCGCGAGTTTCGAAAAAGCTTCATATGAGTATTGAGTATATATCGCTAATGTTTCCGCTATGTCGCGTCGAAATCACTTTTCATTAGATTCAACAAATGATGAAAAATGTGTATGAATGTTTAATAAGTAAGGGATTCATTAAACAAGAAGCAACAAGGCTAATTAAAAAAACGCCAATATTCTCGAAAAAGGGTATTGTTAACAATTGTTATTGAATAAAAGAAAAAACGTAGTGACTTTCAATCTCAATGTCTGGACAATGGTGAACAAAACATGAAAAGAAAGAAAATATATTCCCTCCTTTGGATAAACTAAAAAGGATGCTAGAAGAATATGAAACATATGATTAATTCCGTGCCACCCTCTGCGTTAAATGTAAATGCCGCAAAGAGACAAAATGCAAATTGTAATTGAATCGTACAGATTGCGCTTTTGGATATTTAATTAGCTTTAGAAAATTAAGAAGTATAGTTTCGAAAATAGTTGTATAATTTATCTAGATGAAACTTGGTTCAATACACGCGATAAAATATTCAAAGAATGGGTGGAATCCAGTGAAAACTATCAAACAAAAGCACCTTCAAATAAAAGAGAATGCATCACCATAATTCACGCTAGATCAGAAGAGAGATTTAATCCAAACTGCTTGTTGTTTACGAAGAATATTAAGGACCCAGACCCCAAGCTTGGACTATCATCAAGAACTTTTTTTACTAACCAAAATAATATTTTAAAAATATTCGGATTAAGTACAAAAACTGAAATTCAAATTATATTTATTTTGAATTTTGAAAAAGAATATGTATGTGATGATTTAGCTAAACAGATTGCACGTACTGTTTTACGTCTTTCTTTATATTGTTCATATATTCAACCCCATAGAACATTTGTGACATCAATTAAAATCAAATGAGAGAGCAGAAAATGTTACTCCTAGCTTGTCTGAGTGTAATAAATTTAATTAAAAATGTACTTAATAGTGTAGCTGGAAAAATATAGTACCCACAGCACATTTCAAAAATTGAAGATTCTGTCCTGATGATCTGATTTATAACGCGCGTTTGGCCAAGAGTTTTATTTCATCGCAGTCAAAAGTCAATGCGATATACTTTGAATCCAGGTATATGGGTTACTTTAAATATGCTTAAACGCAAAATAGTAAAACCCATATAGTATTTCCAGCAGGTTTCTTTTTTGTGCCTTGCTTTTAAATATCAAAGCACCGAGCAAATCCGATTAAAGTTTTTCAAGTGGTGATACTGATTTAGCCGACACAGAAAATCTTTAATTTTTGGAACCTCCTCGGCGGGGCTTCAACGTCGACGCCCGGGCTCCAGACACGGCACCGATAAGGTAGGCGCCGGACCATCGCATCAGGAATGCCGTTCGGATTATACCGATGCTCAAAAGGAATACATGAAAACAACAGAGCCCTCTAATCTCTCTGCCGCTTCTTTTTTATTTCTTAAGACATTTTTAATTCAAATTGTTTTGGTTGGCAATTGTATCTTGGAACTAATAACTTCCAAAATCAACTTTGGGATAAAAAGCAAGTACCCTATCACATACTGCATTGTGGGTCTTTTTAACAAATTAATGCCATACGTTTGTCCATGAAATGCAAACATTTTTTCCATGCATAAAATTTCCCATTTTCTAAGACTTGTTTATTCTTTTCCAATACGCTACAGTTTAGTAGGAATTTGACCATTATGAGTCGTTGCTTCCGTCTCTTCTTACAATTAAACAGCAACAAGTTGATTTTTCTCCTGCGTCTTTATATGCTTCCTTCTTCATTTGATGGAGTTTTACTTGCAGAGATTAATGCTTTCCCTTCGCTGGAACCCTAAAAGTGTTTCTTATACATAAGTAAGAATAAAAGAATTAAAAAATCGTTAGTTTTGCGATTATGCAACAAGTTTGTTAAACGCTATAAACGAGTGACTAAAGAAGTTATCACCACTGTTGCATACTATATTTTTTTTTACGACCATTAATTTTTAGGTGAAACTGACGCGAGAAGTGAAAGGGTCAAGGGAACGAAAAAATATTTACATTTAATTTTAAAATTATGTTCGAAACGGCACGTATTTATTGCCCTATATGCATCTTACACCATACTAAACACAGAATTTTACCTCTGGCAATGAAAATAGAATACTGCCTATCAAAGTCATGCTCAAGCAGAAAAATTTTGAAATACACGATGACGCAACCTCGTAAAAACAGGCCGTTCTAATTATAAATGAATATGATTTAGTTCTTGCCAATTTTTAATGCGCTGCAAATACTATTTACTATGCATATCTAACAGATTCTAGAGTTTTAATAACGGCCTTGTTTAATGTGGAGTTTAACAAACTCATGCAGAAGACATAAACAAGAAGAATACCTTATTGGACCATAAATTTTTAAATAGTATACCAATAATGTCTACAGTGTTTTCATTTAGAATACCATTTCACTTAAACTGAGCGGTACCAGAGAATAGTTTGCTGAAAATCACTATTCGGTGACTTATTTGTAAAGAACAAATGTAAATTATTTATATTTGGGGTACTTATCCGAGCAAGATCGACAACTTTATTTCCATAAACTGATTCATATTTATGTATATGCTTGATGGCTTAATAGAGTTTATTTTTATATCAATCATCGAAAGGAGCTCGATGCGGAATTCGTTCCCAATAAAATTTAAAAGCTTTTTGCTTATGTTAAGGTTATTATACCTCTTTGACGATTGCGTACTTACTGAGCGTGACGAGATGTAGATATGAATTGGCGGTTCGAAAGATTGATTTATCGGTTCTGACGGTGACCGTACATGTATTTGGAAACGATTTTGATTCCAAAGCGATGTATGCGTAATATATCTCTTTCAAGTACGATCAGCAGTTTCCCCCCAGTTCTTCAATGTAATCCAATCCAAATTTTTACTCTGTACTCAATTTATGCATTCGCCTTTTTTAAATCAAAACATTTGTATTATTAATATTTTAATATTTCACCTATACCCGTTTCTCAAATACCCAAATATTTTTGCACCGTCACTTGTTGTTGAAATTGAGACAACCGTGTTCCACCTAGTTCTAGAACTTGAACTAATATAAAAGTACGGACAGAAATTTAAAACACCTCTATCTTCTATCACCTTCTATTTGACACCTCCGCAACACGTATCATAATAGAACTATATCGCATATAAATAAACAAGATGTTAGAAGGGCTACGTTTCGATTGAAAAATATTGATTAGTAGGTATACTTGTGTAATATCCACCAGTAGATTTCTGACTGACTCTCGTTTTGTGACTTGTCCCGTAAAATTAAATTGCTGATATAATTTTCATCCCTAAACAAACTCATCACGCCGCCAAAAAATAAATAATATTTCGTTTAGGAAAAAGGTTTAATATTCGGAATATTTACCTTTTGAACATCGCATCGAAACAATATGACAATTAAAAGAAAAACAGCGACTTATTTTTGTGTTGCATTAACTTTCAAAAATAATGCTCCCACATATTGTTGAAATAATGTTATATTTCATTTATAGATTACCAATAATTGCCTCGTATATTTACCTTCTTAATTAGGAATTCTTTTTTTGCAATAACTTCGATAAAATGAATTCTGTCCTAAATTTCACCTAAATTTTCTCTAAAAAAAGTTCGCATATATGTGTCAAATAGACATGAAACGCAACATTAGTCAGCTAGTCCAAATCGGGGGAAAACGACGACAATATATCGTAAAAAATTATAATTGAATGCAAAATTATGTTTATAATTAAATAAGAGTGCTTGTTACCAATTAGAAATTCACTGGACTCGGAACACATTTTCTTTTATTTACTTACAATGTTAGGTTCACTTTCCTATTAACATTTTATTAATCTGGTTAACGTAGCAATTTGGATAAATTTTTGTTATTAATAATATTTTAAGAAGTCTATATATTTATCGAAGCGTGATGTTTATATCTTCAGGCAGCATAAATATTAGATACTGCATAATTTGTTGTGTGTACATAATGTACTTATTATAGACAGCACTTACAGAAATAAAGTTTATATTAATGACAAGATTATCATAGATAGATAAACTCATGAAATAAAATAAGAAATAAATTTTCTCATTTTCCGACATATATAAATATAATATAATTTTACTCAAACAATGTAAAATCAAGATGATAGTGTTTACTCCCATGATATTTTTGCATTTTCAGAAAAGTCTCGGAGACTAAGCCATTGCATCGGTTGTGGTAACCAAATTCACGACCAGTACATCCTCAGGGTGGCACCAGACCTCGAATGGCACGCAGCGTGTCTAAAATGTCAGGAATGCAGAATGTTTCTCGACGAGACATGTACCTGCTTCGTCAGAGACGGCAAAACTTACTGCAAAAGGGATTATGTAAAGTAAGTAAAATGTTATTGTTTACTCTCTTACTGCTCCATTTTATTGGAAACAGAAAGATATTAGTTTGGATGAACTATAAGGATCTTCACGATGAAGACTTTCATTATGCACTACTTTGTGACACACTCAACATATCATCCCTTTCATGCTGAATAAAGCAGGCGGACTTCAAACTTTTCCCTATCTTTACCTTTACATGTCCCATCCTACAAAATCAACACCACTCAAGTCAGCAATTTCGCAGATCCAACTATGCTCTTCGCTAATTCATTCCACCCACCAAATGAGCTAAGGCAGATGGCATTTTTTGGGCCTTGCGGACCATAGTTCTTTTTAATTAGAATTGAACTAAAACTATTTTAAGTTTTAAACGGACTTGACCGTGGAATAACTGTACCTCTACATGTATCTATATTGACAGATGAGTTCAATTTTAGGTACCTTAAAAAAATATATGTTTCTTGCAGATTAATTAATAATATCATAGTGAGCATGTGAGCAATCAATAAATGATAACACTAAATATCTTTCGCTGGACAAGCGGAATTTATTTTCAAGTTATTTTTGCCAAAATTGAAAACTGGCCACGAGTTCAATACATCGCATCGCAATGAAAAGAAAATATCGTCTGAAGTACTAACATATGTTTTTTGTCAACAATGTCGTCTACCGTGTCACTCATTTGACTAATTTTGAGACGACCTGCGACTTGTGCTTGTGTGTGGCACTTCGTGAAATTTAATTCCATTTCCCTGAGTTCTTGTCGGTTTTAGAAGAACGAAACACCTGGCGACCACCTTGAATTGGGTTAGGAAAACTATAAGGAATCGATTCCCTATGCTATAGAGATCTCGTATTAAAGTTCATTGTTTCCTTCATAATATGGTAGAGAATTGTGTCAACTCTCAAAGTTTTGTTGAAATTGTTTACCCATGGATAAAAAGGATATTTTAAACTAAAGTGAAACGCCTTTATGTCAAATATGAATATTATATTAACAAAAATTTACCAATTGCTTGATTTGAGTGTATTCATACTTACTAATTATAAGGACATATGTCTTAATTCTAATATTTATTCACGATTCAATATTTTGATCTAGGATAACAAAAAATATGCATTAAATGATTTTTAATTAGTTGATTACTTTGATATAAAAGAACACAATTTTGACTCGAAAGGACATGATGGTTTTTAATGTTACTTGACCGTATATAATCTTTAGAGAAATAAAGAATTCCTTGTCGAGAAATGTAATCTCGTGGTAAAATCTTTAACAAATATTTAATTTGCTTTAAGATTTTGAAATTGTCACTTTACGGTCAAGAACTAATTTCAATAAATAATCTCTACTCTAGTTTTCCGTAATTAAAAAATACCATGTACAAATAAAACCTACATACTCTACAGGGTTATACCTTATATGGCGCGGAATATTGTAGCTAAAATACAAGGCTTGAAAAATACAAGATTGGGAAATTAGTTTGACACTTATACAAGTTTTCCCAGAAGTGGCAAAACTATCGATCTTCTATCATTTTAATGGAAAATCACCTATATTATGATGATTATGATCAAAATAAGTCTGTGTTTCGATGAGGTTTATGATACCTAAGTCTCAAGGTTTTTTAAATAAGTTTTTTTAAATACAACCTAATTTTAATTTCTTAAATTCCTAAGAAATATGCAAATTATATCAGCAAAATTTTCAGTAGTTTGCAACAATAGATATCTCAATCATAAAAAAATCGCGTCTTATGCAGCGTGACCAAAAATTGATCATAGTCTAATAATAACTTTAAGTAGCTTTAAAGTTGATTAAATTAAATGGAATGGTGTTAGGATGTTTTTGGTTTTTGACGCCATTTGGTATTAGTTGGGTTTGGTTTTATTGAATCTCGTTACCTATGGAATTTGCAAATGGCAGATAATTTATTTAGGCCGTCAGTTTTGTCTGATTTCGGTATAGGGGTATTATTTTTTGTAATTTATGTCGTGTATTATTTGAAACGTGCAATTAAACTAAGCGTTTGGCCATTCTAAATGTCAATTTTGGAAAAATGTGGATTGAAACACATCCTCCTCTCCTTCCAGATCCTCTTACTTAACACCACTAGCCTTCTTTCTATGGGGAAACATTGTTTACAACACGCTTCTAACCACACCAGAAAAATGAGATGCGCTTTGAACACTGTAATCCCGCAAATTTAATCCACAGTTAGCAATAGTTTCAAGAAAAGGATATGTAAATGTCTGGAAATGCGTTTTACAAAACTTCTGGATTTCTTCTGCGTCGGTTTTTGCTGAGTCGAACTTGCTGACGTTTCGCCAATCATCCTGTTGGCTTCTTCAGAGCTTGACTGAAACTGGCTCGTATTTTACTCTGTACCTGCTTAGGTTGCTTAGGTTAGGTTGTTTATAGATTTCTATAGACTCTCAGATTTTTCGTTGGTAGAAGAACTGATTACATGCAAGAATTTTAGTTTTATTGATTAAAATTTTATGTCCAGTTTCGTGATTGTGTTCGGCAACAGCTCGTCGTAAAGCGCTTTCGTGTTCTTGGAGCCTAGTTCAGGTTTTTCGTCCGGTTTCTAAAAAGTATTTTTGGCCTCATATGCATGGAATGCTGTAAACTCCTGGCATTTTGATATGTGGTCAGTGATATTTTGAATGTATGGAAGGACCACAGTGCCAAGTGTAGGATTGCTTTCGGCCTCATTGCTATTGGAAGGTTGTGATGAAGTGATGGAACGCTTAATATCTTTAATGTGGAAATTATTAGAGAGAAAAGTAGAAGTAAGGTGTTTTAATTCTGGGTTCAGTGACTCATGACCATGAGGCCAAATAACAAAAGTATCATCGACATGCTTTTCTTCATTTTTAATTTACTTTCAATTTTAATTAATTAGTTGTTGTAGCATGAATAATAATTTACTTTTCGAGTTCCATAAATTTTTAAAAATCTTATACATTATAATTATTATATATGTTATTGTTATTATGTCTAGGTGTTGCACCCGTGTTTTTAGATATCCACAAATTGTAACTCTTATTCTCACTCTTAGTAATAAAATCTGAACCAATGTCAAGCCGATAAAGTGATCAATGCAGTCATAAAACATCTAAATTCACACGAAATACGACGATTGGCTACCTGAATAAATTATCTGTCATTTATAAATACCATAGGCAACTAGATGCAATAAAATAGGTCAAAATTTTCAAATTTTCCGCAATCGCATTGGTCACATGACTAACGTACTTTAGGTTATCGGACATGCAGGAAATATTGCGCATAAATAATTCCCATCTCTTACACATAGAAAATTTTGCAATGTATATATACAGGGTGATTCATTAATCACTAAACTGAAGATACTGTTCACTAAAATATTATGATTGAACTCAACATGCCTCATACAAATGTCGCTTTTTTTTCGAAGATACCGGGCGTTCAAAGTTTAAATTTTATTCAGAATTTTCTTATTAATTGAGAAGGTTTTTCTAGTATAATAATAAAAAATAAAAATAAGCAGTTCGTAGAGGGCGCTAGTTTTACTATATTATTTAGATAAATCGAATCATAACCTGATAAAAATCTGAAAGAATGCTCAATTTTTCATAGAAAAGGTACTCTTGTTTAGGCCCTTTATGTTAATCGATTTTTGACTTATTTGGAAGTTATAAAAAGTTCAAAGTATTTTTTCAGATTTTTTTATAAATACTTGGAAGATGCGGTGCGGGAAGCAATAAAAACAATATTTACCAATAACAATTTTGATAATGGTAAAAATCATACGTTTATTTCAATGCATTTTACAATATATTCTCTTAAATGTCTTTGAATGTTAAAAAACTTCTACATTGTTTCTAAAGGTATTCGCGCTTCCTTGTGTTTGCTGCTGCAACTCCTGCCAAGAACTTACTCCTTTAGCGTACACCAAGTTTTTCTTATTGCTAATACCAAAATTATTATTAATAAACATTGTCCCCATACCTTATCATCTTTTATGTATTTATTAAAAAAACGGACTTAAACAGCCTAAACGGGAGTACTTTTTCTATAAAACATTAAACATATTTAACAACAAATCGACAGCTAAAAAATTGAATAATTGAATCGATTCATTTAACTAATATGGCGAAACTAGCGGCCTCTAACAGAAACGTCCAAATAAGTTTCAAGTTGGCAATTGTAATATCAAAAAACCTAAAACCAATTTTTATTACCAATTTATTCAGAATAAAATTTAAACTTTGAAGGGGTATGTTGTATATTAATGTAAGGTATGTAGGATATTATTATTATTATTAATGTATTAATGTAAGTATATAATCTGTTTTGCAATAAAGTTTGAAGACTCGCCTACAAATCACCCTGTATATTCATTGTGCCCGTGTATAAGATGATATACATGGGGATATTGGAAACTGTAAGAGATATAGCGTCGATACCCTTACGTAGATACAGTATAAAAAAATAAAATGTCCATTTTTGAAACATCACGTTTTTCTTATTATAGGAGCTGAAATATTTAAATTTTTATGTTAGTGCTAAAAGGACACAGCGATCTTAAAAACAACTTCAAAAAAAAATAAGCCTACTATGTTGCGTACGGCCGAATTCAACTTTTCTATTTCTTATCGGCGTCATATTGGATGTCTACATTTTCAAAATCCTTTTTATAAGATGCTTTTCAACGATGTGCAACACATTTATGTTTAGTCAAATAAATTCGGAAAAATGACAAAAATAAGATTTCAGGATAGTAGGTTTTAATATTGCTATTCAATTTTAAAACACATTTAAATAATGAGTGGACAAGAAAGGAGTCAATAAAATTGAGAGAGAAGATCGAGAAAAGAAGTCAGTAAAATTTTCATACCTACCATTAAAGGTTCTTTAGTTCTTTAATGCACAAAAAAAAACACTGAATCTTACAATAATATCGCAAAAAATAATTCTCCGTTTTGTAGCACGCATAACATACATCTTCTCAAAACTGTTAACAGCTTCTGTACCAGCTTCTCTTAATCCTTCAACGTTTTCATAGGACCTACCGTATACTTGATTTTCGATGTGACCACATACAAAGAAATCAAGGGGTGTTATGTCTGGGAATCTCACAGGCCATCTGACTGATCTCAGGTGGCTTATTCACCTGTTGGGAAATTCTGCATCTAAAAAGTTCATAATAATCTGTGCAGCGGTGCGCCGTTTTGTTTGAAAAATTTTAAATATCTCTCAGAATTTAAGTTGTCATCGAAAAAATATGGTCCAATTTTGTGGGTTCCCAGAATACCAAACCAAACGTTAAATCCCCACCTCACTTGATGCCTAACTTCATGCGCAGTATTCTTACGATTAAAGAGTCCACAATTTGTAAATTGACACTCATCCTACCAAAGGTTTTTTAAAAAAAAATTTCGAATTTCGTTATTTTTCTGAATAAACCACTGCTAAAATGCCATTCTTTTAACAGTTACACAAGTCTCTGTCACAGCCGTTCACGATAAGGATAATATCTATGACGCTTTAAAATACCATTCGCTGATGACCGAGCAACACCTGTTGTCTCTTCAATCTGACGTAAAGATATACGAAGTGTCTTAACCGCGCTTTGCAAGACCAAATTTTCTAAGATCTTATTTTTAATATATTTCCAAATTTATCTTCACCAAGCATAAATGTGTTAGACATGGTCGAAAAGCATTTTTAAAGAGGATTTTGAAAATTTAGAAATTCAATATGGCGCCCATAAGACAAACAAAAGTTGACTTCGCCCGTATGCAACATAGTAGGTCCTAATTTTCTTGACGCCATTTTTAGCATCGCCGTATCATTTTACTCATATGAAAATTTGAACAATTCAGCTTCTATATGGACGTTTTCCTTTTTCACCCTGTATCTACGTAATAAAACAAAGCTCGATTATCTGTTACAGTTTCCGATGTACATCATCTTATACTGGACACTCTATATATCATGTATCTGTAACTTCGTTTAACTTACATACCGCTACAAAGCCATTTTGAATTAGTGAACACTTGCATTTTTTTTGCAGGTTGTTCGGCACCAAATGTGACAAATGTGGCAATTTCTTTAGTAAGAACGACTTTGTGATGCGCGCCAAGAGTAAAATTTATCACATAGAATGTTTCCGGTGTTGTCAGTGCGCGAGACGTTTGGTGCCGGGAGACGAGTTCGCGCTTAGAGACGGGGGTACACTTTACTGCAAAGAGGACCATGACGTTATTGAAGGCCAGAAGGGAAACAGCGGAGGGACGTCATCGGGACCTGCGACACCTCATCCCGGTGCTGCGGAGAGTAACAACAACACAAGTTTAAGCAACAATAATCACAGCAACTCGACTGAGTTGGGGTGCATGTCCGGTAAGAAACCCACTTCCACGAAATTAGAAGATTTTTTTCTAAAAGATAAATACTTCGAATTAGATTAGGATATGTCGAAAATAGATCATGTACGAACCATGCGAGACAAATTTATTATTTAGCAAGTTTAGTAGCGTAAATATATGGAGGAACAGCACACCAAAAGCACATCGAAAATTTTACTTCGAAAATATCAAAAAGTGAATTAATGTTTAAAAATATTTGATGCTGTCCAGAAAACCAGAATATTTGGAAAGATCGTAAAGGATCTATTATGGTCTTATGGCTACTATTCCTGTAGCTATACAGGAACTTATGAAGCAACCGTGAAAAAAATGTTCAACATTTAAAATATCGTTTTTAATCAGGTTGACCTTGAGGAATTCAACAACCAGCATATCTTCAATCAGTTTGGGTGTGACATTTGTACGGCAGTATTTTCTTAAAATATGCCTAGACCTCATCAAACGCTCTAGGAAAATGAGTATTCGTGTAATGAGTAAGGAAATCGCTCTTTAGAAGCAAAATGCCCAAGAATGGTCAAAATTGATTTTTCTTGGACTTTTGCGACATTTTTTTTAACGGCGCATATTAGTCTATTGGTATTTCCTTCATTGGTACATATAAATTAATATATTTTATGCACAGGATCTTCCACAAATTTCGAGAAACTGGCAAATACCTAAAACTCATTCTACCATTTTTGGTGTTTGATTTTGAAAATATTTTCACAAGCGTACTAGCGTAGGTAGTATTTTAAATATCTCTTTTTTAGTGTTTTATCGACTATACGTGCTATAGTATTAGAATAATTGGATCGATCCTCCTTTTCACCACAATCGGTCTGATATAATATTTGGGGGACTTTAAGCTAATCATAGCTGGGCAAATGTATGCGAAGTAAACAAAATGTTTTCTTTTGAGCCAACTTTTAAGTTGGATAAAGGATGCTGAAAAACAAAACATAGAGGAAATATACTGTGTTTTACAAATCATATCGTTTCCAACGAACCAAATTTTATTCTGTATTATCTTTTTCAACTTAACATCGCTTTATATCTCGTCATTCTAAGAGAAGACGGGAGCAAATCGATACGATGCTTTTTCGTCTATTAACCGTTTTAACTGTAACAACTATGACATTTTCCTAAACCCCAAAAATTTAGACACTAAACTGCACTTTGTGCCATTTGCGAATTTTATTTATCCAAAAGATAATCTTGTGGCATTACATTTTAAATATGATTTCTGGCATATGACCGCCACGGCTGGCGCGGATGTAGTCCAATCTGGACGTCCAATTTTCGATGACTTTTTCCAACATTTGCCGCCGTATATCGGCAATAATACGGCGAATGTTGTCTTCCAAATGGTCAAGCGTTTGCGGCTTATCCGCATAGACCAATAAGTTTACATAGCCCCACAGAAAGTAGTCTAGCGGTGTAAAATCACAAGATCTTGGGGACCAATTCACAGGTCCAAAACGTGAAATTAAGCGATCACCAAACGTGTCTTTCAATAAATCGATTGTGGCACGAGCTGTGTGACATGTCAATTCAGAAATGAAAGAGTTAGTAATCATAGCTCTATACGATCACCATTGACTGTAACGTTCTGGCCATTATCGTTTTTGAAGAAGTACGGACCAATGATTTCACCAGCCCATAAAGCGCACCAAACAGTCAGTTTTTCTGGATGTAACGGTGTTTCGACATACAATTGAGGATTGGCTTCGTTCCAAATGCGGCAGTTTTGTTTGTTGACGTAGCCATTCAACCAGAAGTGCGCCTCATCGCTAAACAAAATTCGCTTATGAAAATCGGGCACAACGGCAATCTCGTTTTGGGCCCAACCGACGAATCTACGCCTTACTTGATGATCGTTTGGCTTCAATTCTTGCACGAGTTGGATTTTGTAAGCAAGTAAACCAAGATCTTTCCGCAAAATCTTCCATAAAGTGGATGGAAACAGATCAATTCTTGTGCTCGATGGCGGATGGACTCATTCGGGTCTTCCTCAATGGTAGGCTCTACAGCAGCAATAGCTTTTTCTGTTCGCACCGTACGGCGTCTCTCGGGACGCAAGTTATCAATAAGAGTAAACGTGGTGCAAAAACTGCTCTGATGAAAGATTTTGTCGACGATAAAATGGACATAGTGCGCGATACGTATTCCGCACGGAACCATTATTTTCGAAATAAAATTGCACTATTTGCAAGCGTTGTTCAAACCAAACCAAACTGAGAATAAATCACTTGACAGCTGTTAAATAGGTCGCCATCTTGAACAGTAATGCCAACTTAAAGTTCTATACACCGAAAATAATAACCCTGTATTTGTGTTGTTTTGCATAAATGTACCCAAAAACTATCGGTCGTCGTTTATTAATCACTCGCTCCGCTTGTGTAAAATCAACTTGTGAATCAAATGCCATTTACCACACTTGTTGCACAATATACTCTTAAAAATATTCTTTGCCGTATCGCGTGAAATCACGAAATATTTTTGCGCCTATCAAAATATGCTGTTTAATTTAGCAATAAATAAATAAATGACGGCTGATCTAACTAAAATGGCATTGGATTGTCGTTATTGTCATTGAATTTGTATTTGATTCTGCATCCTTTTTTTTTTTCAATTTAAAATTCACTTACTTTCCCGCTGCGAATTTTCGCTTAATCCATGTTTTAATCCCGAGCTTAAATGTTTTTCGGACAAACTCGCACTTGGTGTAATACAAATAATGTTCCTTTGATTATGTATGCTCACGACTACAGCGATTACGACAAATTAAATCCGCTAATCTTTCGGCTAGTTTCGGACGTGGGGAGTCTGGTCCATTACCGTTCAAGATGGATTAGTCTTGGAATTAGAAGGGCGTGAAACGATGGCCACTCGAGAGTACCCCCATGATTCCGAACACCTCTGTGAATTTTATATCAAAAGGCATACGCAGTTACAGTGTGTCCGGAACTGGTTAGTTTTGGTTGCCTAGAACAATAAACTTGGCAACATCGAAGAATAAACAGTAAAACTCAAAATCGTTACTGATTTAATCTTAAAACTTCCAAACTTAGTTCTCTATTACTGTAATAATATTAGGCATCTTATCTAATTAAAACTGAGAAAATGCTAATAGGTCTGTCTCAACTTATACACCGATTTTTGTATCTGTTCTACTCTGTCGCAGGCCTATGTATTTGCGAATGTATGCAAGATATTACCTTTAGTGAATTTTAGCCAAAATTTTGGACAATTAAGTTGTAAATAGTATCTATTAATATTTCCAGAATGACTTCATTTGAAATATGAAAGAAATCTGCCATTTTAATGTAAACATTGCTCTTATATAAACATGCACCATCATTTTCAAGTATACATAACAAATATAGAGTTGTAGTATTACACAAAAAATTAAAATGAAAGGTAAGGGAATTTAGACCAATTTGGATTTCGCGGTGGAACGTCGTCTATAATGGCAGTGACATCGTTTTGCGGTAATGTAATGAAAAGCCTGAAATCGGGAGAGTGCCCTATTGGGCTCTTTTTTGATCTCCGTAGGGCGTTTGACTGTATTGATCGCCTCACTCTTTTAAAGGAGTTGCCATCATATGGGATTGCAGATATTGTTCTTAACTGGCTAGAATCCTTTTTGCAGATACGCATTCAATTTGTCAATATTTTTAGTGACAAAGATAATCCCTGTCGTCATATTAATTCTTCTGTAGTTGATATTGATATAGGTATTCCACACACAGTATATGTATGTAAAATTGCCATAACCTTCATTGGTAATATAATGCCATGGATATACAATAAAATATTAACATCATATCCACGTAATGTACACAACCTAAATACTTCGAAACTTGGATATTGGATTTTCACAAAATATTACATAGTTGTTATACTAAAATGAAAATTTACCAGTGCTGCCAATTAAAATAATATGTGATGCGTAAAAGATATGAGAAATTACCATATGGATTACGTACTTTTAGATTTTGCTATGTAGTTTCTACCTTCTACCATCCTTCGTCATTTACCAGAGCGTCATGTAAAAATATGGAATCTTTATATGAAGTAACAGAGGAGAATGTACAGGGTTTTCCCATATATTATTGCACCCCACCAATTAACCTATTTCGGATCTATATAGGCGTGGTGCAAAAATATATTCGAAAACCGTGTACACAGAAAAAAATTAAGTAAATATAAATAAAAACATAAAAACTAAATAAATATTTATTTTTAAAATATAGTATACATAACATTATCGTTATTAACTGATATCTATTTATTAACGATATCTGAAGACAAAATGTATAACTAATATTCTACAAAAAAAAATTAAGGGACCAACTCTTGTATGACATACATTTTGATCCTTCATTTACAATCAAATATTTGACAAAACCAAGGGGTTATCAAAAAAAATTATGCACAAAGTATACGAACCTCTTAAGAAAAAATAAATGGCGCCAATTTGTTTTTTCTTTGGGCTACAAGATACTATTTAATCGTATATTTATGTACCACATATTTATTTACAAATTTTATGTAGAAAATTAAGAACTTTGCATTTCGTATTTTTTTAGACCGTGTCCAATTTCTGGGTGGATTAAAAAAATATATTTCAATAAATTCTAATGTTGAACAAATTTCAACAAGATATTGTAAAATAGGCTATAAACATTGTTAATAATGAGTCTGGAAAAGTCAAAAATTCCCCTTTAGCTACCCTGGTTTGCTCCACCATAATCTCGAATTCCAATAAGTCTTAAATGGATCCTTAAAAAAACAGCTTTTTAATTTAATCGAAGGACGTTGTGAGCTTTTAATATACAACCAATTAGAACGGGTAAAATCTGTATATTATGATTTTAAACACAGAGTGCTCTATTTAACAACGGAAATTATTTTACTCTTCTGCACCGCTACACCAGTTTCCCTCTTGTTCATTTATTTAGAAAAATGGTAAAAACCCCTTTATAAATAAAA